ATATATATCATGAGGTGCATTAGGAGCATCACATTCGTGGAATTTTGACTAATTTGATTAGAGAATGTTATTGTGGTCCTATGAGTAAAGTGGTGCAAGGTGCGAATTCGACTAAGGTATGCAGTCGTGTTTTGGTGCTGCTTATTGATACGGTGAGCGTATTTTGGAAAGAGGCCTGGCATAAAATTTCGGACGTTTTTTTTGGTAATCCCCCAGGGCTAATTTTTATATGTAATAAAAACAAAATCATACAGTACGAATGGTACAATCTCCGAAGGTATTGTACAAACAAAGCGTACAATCTCAGGAGGTCTTGCAAAATGGAAATAATAACCTATGATTGTTACGTAGTACCTAATACCAATAGAGAGTAGTGGAATCAAAATTGGTATCACATAGGAACTAATGTACGCATTGATATAGTATTGTAGCCCATGCATCAGCTTATCTCTTGAGTCCAACTTCGAAAATATTACTTCCAAGCCTTGTACTCAAATTCTTGTCTCTTCCCCAATTAGTTGGTGGTATTTTCTTGAATATTCCCTATTGATCCTCCGCTTTAAATAAGAGTTCCAAAAAATGCTCGCACTTACTTTTGATAGATCCCTTATGATTGCATATGATTGAAAGCTGAAGAGACTATTTCCTTCGAACATGGCTGCCCAGCATCTGTCATATGCTCCTCTCGTGTGTTTTGTTTTGCAACATGGAAAGATGGTCCATGAATTTAATATATACTGCACAAGACCCCAGATTAATAACCCAATGTGCTTGTCTGCATTATCAACTTCATTGTTTGGTATTTGAACCCATGCTTCATATGCTTTTGCTCCTTTTGATACATGAGTTTGTATTTCCAAAAACTCTTGATTGCATAGCTCAATGTCTTGCCTGTCCCAAGTTAAAAATAGTAGCATGCGATCGAATTGCACTTGCCAATACATTTTGCATTTATTTAATGTATCTATCGTCCGTAAGGGATCTAGTTTTATTGTGTCAAGGCGCCTATCTACATTGTGAAGCATATCCCTTGGTCTGTGTACCCACGCCTCTATGCCTTTTGCTCCTAACGAGTAATCATCCTCAGCCTTATTCCAGTTTTTTGAGCTCCTCTTTCGTTCTGCTTGTGTCTGCATCACTGGTGCTAATAGGCAGCTGTATGTTATCCATGTTGTAGGACTTGTGATTTCCATTAGAGAATAACTGTATATGTCTCCCTCGAGTTGTGTCTTGTCCTTTTTGTGCCTGCCATCTTTTCTTCTTTAAGGGAATGAGCACCTAGTGCTAATACCACCCTTTGAAGTCGCAATAAATGGAGAAGCATTTGTAGCACGACTGTTCTGTTGTTGAACCTTCTTTGCATTTTATGTTTTGAGTTTTTACTTTGTGTTGCCATCTGCTGTTGTAATATGGAGTGTGCAGTTAACTTCTGTTGGAGAATCATCAGAAAAAAAAAGCCTAAGTATAGTTAAATTTCCTGCAAAAAAACAACCAATAATAGAAATAACCATGAGCCCTTCCCCTAGGATTTGATCATGATATCCACTGCATAGCTCATTCAGATGCACCCCTTGCATTTGGTCACCATTCCTTTCCTTATTCCTTACACAACCTTTGCTCATCAGTTCTAACATCTTACCACTTTGATTCTCAAATTTGGACATCGAAGTTTGTCTACATTGACTAACCTTCTTCCTTGTGTATCCAGCTGGTGAAACTCGTGGCATTCCAGATTTCCCATGTCGAGTGCATAGTTTGCCAGGTGATCAGCGAGTTTATTGCCCTCCCTATAAATATGAGACACTCTTCCATTACCCCCTGTTAACAATTCCTTTATTTCCTCCACCTCCTCCTCTATGATCCAGGGAAGTTTCCAATTTCCTTCAATGGTATTTTTCAGAAGCATTGAATCAGTTTCAAGCCATATTTGTTGTGTATGATGAATGGTACAGTATCTCAAACCCTCCAAAATAGCCCTTGCTTCAGATTGTGTATTAGTAGTTTCCTTGATCTCCTTCCCAACTGCATATACTAAGTCCCCATTATCATTTTTGATGCAGTAACCTATCGAGATCCTGCCTGGGTTTCCCCTTGATGCCCCGTCAGTGTTAATCTTAATCCAACCAGCATTAGGGAATTCCCACGTCACCTTATGGAACTTCAGTATTGGCCGATAGTTTTCCATCATATTTAGCACATCTGTCCATCTGTGTGGGACAAAGATAATGCATGGTTTTCTAACCTTGACCAGCGATTGAATTGTAGTACAAATCTGATGCACTACCCTATTGATCGAGACAGGTTCGTCATTCTTATTGCAATTTCTCCTTTTCCATAACTCCCAAACAATGATACTTGGTAGTGCAAGGAAAACTTGTTTAAGGCGTTGAATTACATTGACTGACCAGCATCTAACAATGGCCTGATGCAGGCTCAATCCCTAAAGGGATAAACCTGCATACGAGAAGAAATATGTCCATACCTTCTTTGCTGCGTAAGATGTAAAAAACACATGGGCTACTGTTTCCTCTTGTGGCTTCACACAACACCAACATTTCGATGCCATTCTGTATCCCATTCTCTTTATTGCATCATCTAAAGGTAGCCTGCCCTTCCACAATTTCCACATGAAGAAAAAAATCTTAAAAGGTAGTCCCTGTACCCACATGTTCTTGTAGGTAATGGTAGTTCCTTTTCTTTTCCTTAGATATTCCCAAGTTATTTTAGTAGAAAAGGTCCCTTTTGTTTCCAAGTTCCAAATAGGTTTATCCATGATATTAGGAGAAGTGGGAGGTGCAATATTGTCTAGAATGTGTTTAGCAAACTCTTCAGGAAGCAAATCGTACAGTTTAACATAATCCCACCCTCCTCCATTCACAACATCGTATACATTTTGAGTCATTTCATCACAAAATAAATCTGGTGGGGTGACAAAATAAAGAGCACCTAGGCTAGTCCAGTTATCAAACCAAAAAAGGGCAGATCCCATTTTTAGTTTCCATTCAATCAAATGCTCCACAAGATCCCTACATTGCAGCATTTTTCTCCAAATATGTAAGCCATTTTTCCAAGGAACAACTAGGGCATTTAGTTTCTTGCAGTATTTTTGACTCTTGAATGCGCTCCAAAGTGATGGTTTAGTCCTAAACCTCCACCATAGTTTACAGAATAGGGCTTTGGCCGTATTATGTAGCGATCGGAATCCTACACCTCCTTCTTCGTTAGGCAAGCATAGTGTATCCCTTAGATGCCCAATGTCTAGCCCTACCATCTACTGAGTTGCTCCAAAAGAATTTAGCAAAAAAGCTTATGGAGTTTGTTTAGAACAAATGTTGGAGGATTGACAGCTAATATACGGGTATGTTTTGCAATACATGAGCAATCAAAACAGCCCTTCCTCCGATGGACAGCAATTTCCCTTTCCAGGATTGTAGTTTGTCCAGAACTTTGCTCATAAGTCCTTCATAGAATTCCATCTTTCTTCTAGTGTAGAAGATCGGGCATCCCAGGTAAATGAGTGGGAAATCTTGCCTTTCAATCCCTGTAATCCCTTCCACATTTCTGATCACAACATCACTGGTGAAATGGTGCATGTATATTGCAGACTTGGTTTTGTTTATCAGCTGTCCGGATGCTACTTCATAAGCTGTCAATATATCCATGATCAGTTGTAGTGAAGTATCATCGGATGATACAAAGATGATTGTATCGTCGGTATAAGACAAATGATTAATCTTGGGACTCCACTTAGGTAAGCCAAAACCATTAAACTGAGAGTTCAAGTGTAATGAATTTGATCCTCTTGAAAGTGCTTCTACTGCTAGTATGAATAAGGTCGGGGATAGTGGATTTCCTTGTTTCACCCCTCTTGTTGATTTGAAGAAACCATGGGGTTGCCCATTTATAAGCACTGAGTAATAATTATTGGAAATAATTCCAAACACCACACCAATAAATCTCTCCCCAAAACCCATCTTTCTTAGAACCTTCGTTAAGAATAGCCAAGATAATCTGTCATAGGCTTTTGTCATGTCAAGTTTAATGACGACATTTGGTACTGCCTTGGTTCTGAGCCTTATATCAGTTATAATTTCTTGAGTAAGCAACACATTTTCTACAATGCTTCTTCCTTTTACAAATCCCGCTTGTTCCTCAAAGATAAGATTAGGTAGCAATCCAATTAACCTTTCATGAATGACCCTTGAGAAGACCTTGTTGATGAAGTTACTCAAACTAATTGGTCTCATGTCTGGAAAGCTGATAACATCTTTCTTTTTTGGAATTAACACTATGTTCGAATGAGTTATAAACTTATGCATTTATTGCCCCTTGAAAAATGCCTTAACCATCTGTACCACATCTTCACTTATGATATCCCAACAAGATTTGAAAAAATTGCCATTGAAACCATTCGGAACACCCGCACTGTCCCCATTCAATCCAAAAATAGCTCATTTTACTTCTTCACATGTTCGTTGTCTTATTAAATCAAGGTTCTGCTCTGGAGTTATTAACTGAGGGATGTGATCGATGATATCAAATTTGTTGGGTATAGCGTCCTCATGAAACTGAGCTGTAAAGACCCTTACTGCCTCTTCAGCTATTGTTTCCTGTTCTTCGAGCCACATGCCATTACTATCTTGGATCCTCTTCAGTTGCAAACGTTTTCTTCTTCCTCGAACTTGAGCATGGAAAAACTTCGTATTTCTGTCTCCATTTTGAAACCATGTCATGCCTGATTTCTGCTTCCAATATTCCTCCTCCAATGCCATGACCTTAAAAAGGTCAGCCTGCACTCTTTGCAGCCTCTCTCTATTCTGTAATGTCGGCCTTAGGACAAACTGAGCCTCATGAACTTTCACAACCTCTTCTAAGCTTGAAATCTTTTGAAAAATGTCACCATAGGTAGCCTTACTCCATGTTGAGAGTACTTTCTTCAGTTTCTTCAGTTTATGGTTGAACATGGTGAATGGATTAGCGAAAAAATCTGCCTTCTAGTTCTATCTAACAACTTCGTGAAAGGACTCATGTTTTAACCAGAAATTTAAGAATCTGAAGGATTTCTTAATTGGTGCCACTTCTGGACTTAGTTTAATTAGCAAAGGACTATGGTCTGACCGAATTTTTGTCAAATGCTCCACCTCTATTCCAGGCCATAAATTCTGGAATTCGAGATTTGCCAAACACCTATCCAAACGCTTAAAGATACAGTTTTCTTCAGCCCTTCCGTTCCACCATGTATAAATACTCCCTTTGAAACCAAGATAAAAAAGATTGCTAGTGTTAATATAGTATCGAAAGTCATCGACCTCGTTGATGTGGACTGTTAATCCCCCGAATTTCTCTTCTTCCTCCCATATCACATTAAAATCTCCCCCTACAATCCATGGAAGATTCATGTCACTTCCTAGAGCATACAAAGAATCCCAAAGTTCAGTCCTTTCAATAGCGTCGCATTTAGCATACACCATGGTAAGGTAGAATTCTTGCTGATATTCAATATCAAACACCTTTAAAGTCAGCTGTTTTACCATGTCCATGACCACTGTTAATTCAAATCTTTCACTAAAGAATACCCAAATTTTGTTTGACACATTTGAAATAGCTAGTGGAAAGTCAATTTTCCTCCGATATTTCTCTAGCTTTTTCCTTTGTTGCTTTGGTTCCATCAAGCCTATGAACTGGAATTTGAGCTGCCTATGCATTAGTATTAAGCTTTCAAAATCTCTTTGTGTCTTAACCGACTTGATATTCCAAATCATAGCATTCATCATTAAATAGTGGATTTGGAAATTGTCCTCCTTGTTTGCACTCCAGGTGCTTGTGTATTTGGTTCCTTAGCCTGTTTTCTTCTCCCTTTTCCTGCTGATTTTACTTTCTCCATTATTCTTGGTGAAATATCTCCTTGCCTAGCAACATGAATGAAATTTTGTGTTGTCGACTCTGCATCCATGTCCTTTCCTTTGCCCCGCTGATCACTTTCATCTTCATTGTGAATTTCTCGAGCTGTCAACTGGTTATTAGAACTATTTGGAATTAAGTTCTTGCCTGCCTTCTCCTTTTCAACTTGGCCATCTAACTCTTTTGTTTTTGGTATTGTAACTGGAGTAGCCTGGACTTGTGTAGTAGATTTAGGATCACCTACTTTATTAATTTCCAGATGATTGATCAATTGGGCATCCATAGCTACTTGATTTTCTGCATCTGTATCTCCTGGATCAATAGGATTACCTTCTTTATCAATTTCAAATTGCTTGATGAATTGTGCGTCTATCGCTACTTGATTTTCTGCACCTGTATCTCCTGTATCCATAGGGACAGATGTCCCAGCTTCAATTAAATCGTCCCTGGGCATATCTTCTGTTGATTTTGAAGTATCAGTTTCTTATTGTATCATCAGCTTCCCATTGTTACCCTTGACGACAAACTGTTTCTCTACTTCATCATCTATTTGTTCCTCAGATTGATTGCACCATAATTTTCCTCCTATAAAATCAATCCTATCTTGGAAGTCTTCCTGTTCTTCAATAGCATCTGTGTCGATAGATTGTGATGGTATCTCTTGACATGATTGATTGGTCGTCACAATATTGGTAAATGCTCTGTTGACCCATTGGTTGGTGTGTTCATTCACCTTCTGCCTTTGGTTGCCATCTTCATTAGTTGTTTCAGTTATTCCTCTTGCTTGTAGTGCAGATATATCTTTGTTTGATTCACCATGTGCTCCCTTTACTGTTACTACATTACCCTTCAAAGATGTAAATGTTTTGTTGACCATATTTGATGATGCACTCCCTATATTTGCAGGTTTAAAGGCTGTTGCAGCTGTATTCAAAGGCCCAAGTTTATTGGCACCTTGGTTGTTTATTATTCGAACTGAGGTCTCCTCCTCAAGTACAAGTTGATTGTCTTTATTACTCTCACTCTTATCCACCTCTAATACAGCAAATTTGTTGGTTGTTTGGACTTGTTGTGCATTAGCAACAAACACAGTTTCCCTTCCAGATGGCACTATCTCTTTTCCAGTAATATTTTGTGGTTCCTTATGATTTGCATCATTCTTTACTCGATGGTCTCTTACTTCTTTCCATTGTTCCTTACCAAAGACAGTCGTATTATCCACATTGCCTACAACTTTTCCACTCGACAGAATCATTACAGGTTGATTGTTGGCCTTTGGTTGCTCATTGTTAACTGCATGTTGTTTAGCTTTGGTTCTCCTCAAAAAATTGAGGATGTAATCTCCAGCATTCCATCATGTCATGGCCTTGTAACTTACATTCTTTACAGTACTTAGGCAGCATTTCATATTTGATAGGTATCCATTCTGTCTGTGATTCCCCAGTCGCATCATTATCGATATGCATCCTTACTTTCTTCGGTAGTTCAGATTGTAAATCGACTAAGACCTTAACCTTAGCACAACTAGGTCTCATCTTATTGATGGTAGCCATATCAAGTTGTAATGGTTTCCCAACAGCTGAAGCTAAGGAAAATAAACATTCTTTTACAAAATACGTAGGTAGTAAGCCTGGAAATGATATCCATGCCATAGCTTTTAGAGTCTCCTCTCCAACTTTAAACCTGGTATCGTAGATTAATGGCCTCAACTGGTATTCATAGTCATCTCTATCCTTAATATAGTATGCAGCCTTTGATGTGAAATTTAGGTAGTCTTCCCATAATGTTTGACGAATTAAAACGTGCTTGTCTCTAAGGTATCCAATAGTGCATTCTCCTTTGATCCCACACTGTGCAGGAATCATACTACGCAATTGTTGCAAATCTGGCCACCCATAGGATAACTTTCCAACGATAGCATACTGTAGACCTTCAGTCACATTCATTCTTTCCACCTCAACTTCTGTGAATTTGACTATATGCATTACATTTATCAAAGTTGCTTGACGGAAAAGAATTGGTTCAACTGTTGTAGCTTTTTCATCCATTACATTGTTCAAAGTGGAAGGTTTCAGGATTTTTGAGTAGTCTAAAGGCTCGGTTAATGTCATTGGAGGTTGGGCGTTGGTGGAGGATGGCTGACCAGCCTAGGATGGCTGGCCGCCGGCCACATTGTCCATGACAGCACTCTCACTATTCCTGTAACTTGTAACAACTACATATGAATAGACAGTGTCCAAAATTCTGGGAGTCTTCCTGTTACAGTGATTTTCGAATAGAAAATCAAGATCTGCCTCAAATTGTTACGAGATTATATAAGAAACCAACTGGGATCAGATCTCCAATTATCAGAGATTTTGACTTGAACAGAAAACTTATGAAGAACATAAAAAAACTGGACAATCTTCGATGCAACAGTAAATCCAAAATTTAATTTTAAGATCTACTTCGTTTTGATATAGAAAATGAGAAAAACACAAAGGGAGGTTGTTCATCAATGGAAGGGTGTTCTTTTGGGATTAAAATTGTGATGAAACCTTACCGGTTGAAGGATTTATGGTCGATGAATAGTGACAGAATCACTATTCATGGTCTTCTTCCTAACTTTAATCTAAATCGATTCATTTGTCTATAAACCACATGTTTAAAACCCGTTTAAAACTTCAAAAAGGGGACAAATTAGGGTTTTCAATTTCTGGTGTCAGATTTGAAATTGGGACAAGTGGGTAAATTTCGGACGTTGGAATTTGGCTCTAAGGCTTATTTTCTTGAATAAAAGGGAATATCTCCAGAATTAATCGAGCTAACACGCTCAACTAAGTTGTGTAACGCGGGTAGGTGCACGAGGTGTTAAAAAGTGATTTCAGACTACTTCAGTATAGTTCTCAGCACGTTCTAGGACGAACTTATGTTTAAGTGGGAGAGAATGTAACGATCGGACCAGTCGTTTTGATCTCTAGCGCGTCGTTTAGTAGTTTGAGGCCATGAGCAGCTCACTTCAAGTATTATGACTTGTACACAAGATAGGAACTGAATTCCGGGAAGTTCGGAGTTGATTTGGAGAAAGAATTCTCATTTCGGAAGCTTTAAGTTGAAAGAATTGACTAAGATTGAGTTTCAGAGTAAACGACCTCGGAATTGAAATCTTAAGGTTCCAGTATGTTCGTATGATGATTTTGGACTTGGGCGTATGCCCGGATCGGGTTTTGGATGACCCGAGAGCATTTTGGCGCCTATTGTGGAAGTTAGCATTTTAGAAGAAATTTCATAAGTTTGGGTTGAAGTGCATTTCAGTGCTATCGAAGTCCGTTTGGGATTTCGAGTCTGGAAGTAGCTCCTTATGGTGATTCTGGAGTTGGGAATGTGATCGGAAGTGAATTCGGAGGTTCGTATGTCATTTTGAAGTCATTTGGCTAAAGATAGAAATTTGAAGGTTTTTGAGAAGTTTGACCGGAAGTGAACTTTTTGATATCGGGGTCGGAATCCGATTCCGGAAGTTGGAGTAGGTCCGTAATGTCAAATATGACTTGTGTGAAAAATTTGAGGTCAATCGGATGTGATTTGACGAGTTTAAACATCGGAAATAGAAGTTGAAATCTTAAAGTTCATTAATCTTGAATTGTAGTGCGATTCATGGTTTTAGCATTGTTTGATGTGATTTGAGGCTTCAAGCAAGTCCGTTTATGTTTTTAGACTTGTGCGGGTGTTTAGTTTGGAGCCCCGGGGGCTCGGGTGTGATCCGGGATAGCTTCGGAGTGATTTGCTAAGAAATAGGATTGCTGGTACTTGAATGATCGCAATTGTGATGCATTGGTCGCAAATGCGACCTCGCATTTGCGAGTTTTTGTTCGCATTTGTGAGCTTGGGCTTCTAGGGGAAAGTTCGCATTTGCGAACGAAGGATCGATTTTGCGAGGCTGTCGCCTTAGCATTTCCGAAGGATCTTGTCGCAAATGCGACCAGGGCAGGGTGGGCTAGGCTTTGCATTTACGATGCAATTGTCGCTAATGCGACATCGCATTTGCGAGCCGAATGTCGCAAATGCGACTGGAACTAAGGGATTTTTATCCCAAGACTTAGCCCATTTCCTACTTGGCCTTAGGCGATTTTTGAGAGCATTTGAGGAGGGATTCCATCATCATCAAAGAGGTAAGTAATTTCTACACATCATAAGTTAAATACATAGATTATGGGTAGATTAACATGTGAAAATTAGGGAAAATCAAGAGTTTTAGATGAAAAACCTAGAATTTGGTAAAAGCAAGATTTAACCATGACATTTGTTAGGGAATGGAGTAAAAAATCATATATTCTTGATCCTTGGGTTATGAGTAACAATTTTCTTCAAATAATTTCAGAATCCGGGCACGTGGGCCAGGGCATGAATTTTAGGAACCTTGCATTTAGGGTTGGAAAATTGGTTTAATAATTAGAATATGAACTTTTGGCCATGTATTGACTAGTTCTTACCCTATTTGAATAGTTTTGGATCGTTCGACTCCGAATTGGAGGTTTGAGCGCGTTCTTAAATCGAAATATAGGCTTCGGGGCGAGGTGATCTCCTTTCTAACCTTAACAGGGAATTGTCCCCATAGGTGAGTTTATTGGTTATGTGCTCCTATTTGTGGGGGCTCTGTACGCATGAGATGACGAGAGTCCGTGTGTAGCTACTATTATGCTATTTTTCTGGTAGTGTAGGACCAAAAAGCATGTTGTACTTGGAAATATTTGTAATCCTATTGACGGTTTGAATTGCTTAGATCACATCGGATTAGTAAGTGAATTTCCAAAAGGATTGAAGTTCA